CTAACAACTAGTCCTTGAAATGAACACATTTTACTGAAAATAACGTTCATAGTAAAAAAATATATATATAATGAAAACAAGCCCTGAGACTTTCTTCATTTTCCTGAAACTGAGGAAATCTTGCGACATTTTCTAGACTTGTGTGGGATTTCTTGGATATATTTGCTTCAGGGTCTGTACGAGAGACTACCTGTCCTGGCTGCTACCTCGACTTGCACAAGTCTCTAAGCCTAAGGTAATAATTAATAGTTTAAATGATAATTTCTAAAAAATATAAATATCCTACATACAGACTGGCATCTTGAGATTGCTTATCCTCTTTAAAGGATAGAATTACTCTACATCCATGGGCTCAACCTTCAGTACAGCCTTGGAACAAGGCTAGCTGCTACCAAGCAGAGCTCCATGGTAGAGGGGCAATTATAAACGCATACCGGTTTGTGAGCCATAAATAATCTCTTTTGAGAAGTTTAGTTTCTGAAAACACAACATGCACTTGAATGTTCAGCCTTTGTACATACATGTTTGAAAGAATCCTCAAGGCCATGTCCACAGTGCACATACAAACATCGTTACACACGCTACACTATGGTAAGTTTAAACACATAAAAGTTTACCCACATCTGTGTAACTTGAAACACATGAATGCGAGTTTTATGGCATGTCTGAAAACTTGTCTACATAACCTGCACTCAAATAACAAATACCCAGTGAATATGAGTTTACTTTTATATGAAATATTCATTATTATTAAGAAATTGTACATCATGGTTTCAGACAAGTTCATGGTTTCAGAACAATGACCAATATGTCCAAAAGATTTGCTTCAAATTTGGTACCGATACAGGTAAGATGAAATGGCGAAAATCAGTTTAATGTTGTTTTCAAACTTTTTGCACTTTTTGCTCGGATGCATGTACAAATACAGACAAACACCTGGGCTCTTTTTCTCGAAACGTTCCATTCGTAGCCCTAAGAATTCTTAACTTTGGTTGTAGCCAATGTGTTAAGAATGGGCTTAAGAAGTTCGTAGGGCTACGAACGTTTCGAGAATAGCTAGCCTGTTCTATAGTTCCAGTAGTGTGGGATACAGATCCTCAAACAGATATACCCAATGCAGCCTTTGCAAGTCTATAATATGTGGCAAGTCTAGATTATGTGGCAAGTCTACAATATGTGGCAAGTCTACAATATGTGGCAGGTCTAGATTATGTGGCAAGTCTACAATATGTGGCAAGTCTACAATATGTGGCTTAGTCTACAATATGTGGCAAGTCTAGATTATGTGGCAAGTCTAGATTATGTGGCAAGTCTAGATTATGTGGCAAGTCTACCATATGTGGCAAGTCTAGATTATGTGGCAAGTCTACAATATGTGGCAAGTCTACAATATGTGGCAAGTCTAGAATATGTGGCAAGTCTACAATATGTGGCAAGTCTAGATTATGTGGCAAGTCTACCATATGTGGCAAGTCTACAATATGTGGCTAGTCTACAATATGTGGCAAGTCTAGATTATGTGGCAAGTCTACCATATGTGGCAAGTCTACAATATGTGGCAAGTCTAGATTATGTGGCAAGTCTACAATATGTGGCAAGTCTACAATATGTGGCAAGTCTAGATTACCACAGTTTCTGAAAAAATGAATAGTCTCTGGGATCCTTTTTGTTATATTTTATGAATAAAATGAATTAATTTCACATCAATAGGCATAAATCTCTATTTATACAGGTTCAAAATTCGAAATAAAGTAATACATTGGTACTGCTATATACACTGGCATCTGGCTAATGGTTTCCATCTATCTCCAGGCAACATATGACAATCTCCCCATCCCACACAGAATGTCAGTGTCTCACCTAACAGGTACTGGAGATGCACAAGTGTTCCAGACAGTGCTTGAACAAGGTCAAGGTCACCTCACTACTGGGTGATGCTATCTACACAATGTGGCTGTAACAGTGACCTTGACACTCTACACTTACCGGTACCATGCCAGAGGCCGCTAATGCAGGTACTCTGGTGTTGTAATGGCAGCAAAATGAAATTACCACTTGGCTTTTCTGAAGGAAATTGCATTACGTTACAGGTACTGTTCATGAAAGCCAAGTAAACGTGGTTGCCAGAAGGAATTTTATAGAGACTGATGAAGTGATGCCAGAACCAAACTATTCCTCCCCCATCACTGTTATCTTCTTTCATTTCAAAATAGAAAACAACATTTGACATTGTTTTTGTTATAATGTTGACACGGTATCACACTCCTGTTGGAAAGCTGATTCTCAATCTCGTTATTTCTTTAACTTTGTCTTATCCAACAGAGCCATGATATTGCTAAAATCGGTGTAAAACTAAACTCATTCTCTCACATCCAATAAAACCAACTTTTCCTTTTCCTAAATACACTACACTACAGTTATTACCAACTACTTTCAGTTTGTTACAATTGTAGTTTTTATAAGACTAAAATATACAGAAAGTGACAGTCAGTTATATTGGTAAGTTTATTATAAGCACATTCATTATGTAGTATACAGTACCTCCAACTTTTCATCTCCCTAATACACCCCACTTTTCCCTTTACACCCTCCAGAATACACCCCTCCTAATACACCCTTTTTCATCTCCCTAATACACCCTACTTTTTTCATACACCCCAACTTTTCCTAATACACCCCCACTTTTCATCTCCCTAATACACCCCAACTTTTCATCTCCCTGATACACCCCAACTTTTCATCTCCTAATACACCCCTCACTTTTCCTCTCCCTAATACACCCCACTTTTTTCTCTCCCTAATACACCCCAATACACCCCAACTTTTCATCTCCCTAATACACCCTTTTCATCTCCCTAATACACCCTAACTTTTCATCTCCCTAATACACCCCAACTTTTCATCTCCCTAATACACCCCATCTCCCTTTCATCTCTCCCTAATACACCCCAACTTTTCTCTCTCCTAATACACCCCACTTTTCATCTCCCTAATACACCCCAACTTTTCATCTCCCTGATACACCCCCACTTTTCATCTCCCTAATACACCCCAACTTTTCCTCTCCCTAATACACCCCAACTTTTCCTCTCCCTTATACACCCCAACTTTTCCTCTCCTTTAATATGTTCCACTTTATTTCCCCTAATACACCCCAACTTTTCCTCTCCGTAATACATCCCACTTTTCCTCCTCTCCCCAATACATCCCACTTTTCCTCCTCTCCCCAATACATCCCAATTTTCCTCCTCTCCCTAAATACATCCCAAATTTTCTTTTGCCTTAATATACCTCAACGTTTCCTCTTCCATAATACAGCCAATGAATTCTGTCCCTAAAGACCTACATTAATCAATTCTGTTCTTGTGTAATCCAACACCATTTTAGTCAAACAACTAATTTAACAAATCAAACCAAATTGTTCCCGACTAACAAAACAATCAATCCCTAAAGTTGTCTTTGCTTCTAGAGTTATAATCAATCAACTAAAGAGTAAAGCGGCAATGTTTCCAATACCCGGTGAAACCAATGGCGGACTGGTCAATATGTCTGCCACAATGGTCGCTGGGCCTGTATACAACGCTGGATGTCATTAATATTGTTGCTGGGCTACGTGGGGAAATGCATGTTCACTGCACAGGGAAGTCCTCTTTTGTCAATGTCACATAAAGGACAAAATATCAGGTCATGTTAAAATAATGTGGCCTTAGTGCTGAATAATGCATTTGAAAGCTTGTTTGTGTCCTGGAATTTTCCCAATATGTACAGCAAGCAGGTTTTAGAGTAACATCCACCCACTCAATGGCTGACTTTAAAGGCAAATCAATCCAGGCTTTCAGACTTAAAGGCAACTTAATGTAAATTCAAACTAAATATGTAAATTCTACTCATGCATAATGCATTAGGTGGTCTGTAAATAGTTTGACATGAACACATGATAGATTATCCAGTTTCCAGAGTTAAACATGGGCTGCGCAAGGTTTCAAACTCTTCAGAAATAATTTTGATCCCATTGATGAACTGATGCTAAGCATCTTCTAACTCAGCCCTCTCAAGAAAACCACCCCACCTACCACACCAAGTATCACCTCTCTCCTACCCACCCACTACCTCTCAAGAAAACCACCCCACCTACCACACTAAGTATCACCTCTCTCCTACCCACCCACTACCCCTCCAGAAAACCACCCCCACCTACCACACCCCAAATCCCTTCTCTCCCCTCTCTATATACCATCCCCTATATATTGTTCCCCCCTATCCTACATCCCCTTCCCCAAATGTAATTCATCATTCTCCTTGCCTTTATGCCATTATATTAAACCCCTAGACAACACTTTAGTTGTTTATTGTCAATACAACCACTAGCTCGTGACTAGCTGTGTGACGTCTGTAGCTGAGGGAATCATCTACTGAACATTAATATCATCTGTTGGTTTCACTGTTGTCTATATTCAGCTATATTCAAATTGAGGGAAGTCTACACACAGAGAATATATTGATAAAACTCAACCGTAATCAACCAAATATCCAAGCCTAATAACCACATGATCTCATTTACTCTCATTAAACGACAAGAATTGGTTGCCAGAGACCTATATTCTTCCCTATGATCTCCATGGAGACCAGATTCCTGATTATTGGAACAGAAATGAAAATTAGTAATGGAACCATCATTTTTTGCACTCTTTTTCTTTCTTTTCAGGTACCATTTATTCCATCTTATATCAATATATATGCATTAATCTTAGTGTGTAATTACAGCATAATCCACAAGTTGGGAAGTAAAGTCTGTATCTTCCTTATGAACAAATAAATACAACAGTCTTAATTCTCACATCTATTGTTTGATTGGACATCTATATTTGGCATCTGTAATTTTGAATCAAACTAAGCAAAAGTTGACAACAGGGTAAAGGATCTAAACAGATTGGTTATATATCATTATAATTCCCTGGATAATTGAAGATAAACGCAAAGCCATGAAGTAAGCTGCTTACCACATTCTGCGGTCATAGAAGCTAGACCTCCATAGATAAACGGTCGCCAGTCATTCATTCCTCGGCCTCCACCACTGAATGAAGAAGTCTGTCAGCCTGCTGTGTCCTAATACTGGGAGGTGGTTGGTCAGTCCTGTCTGAAACCAAGTACAACAATTATTAGTAAAACATCACATGGTTCAACGTGGATCACCTCTACAAAGTTCAAGTTAAGGGATATAGCCATAAGTTAATCAAATTAAGACTATGAAATTATGTATAGCTCCCCAAATGCACTAGAAACATGACAGATACATATTACAGTCAAATCCCGATGAGTCAATCTCTGGGGACCAAGTAATAAATTCGACTTATCAATGTATTCGAGACATAGGTATATCTATGAGGGTAGAAAAAAAGATGATCCAGTCCAAATTCCTCCGCCTAAGCATTTGTTTATCTAATGATTTCCCTATCACTAATAGGGGCACCTTATCAGTTCCAGTCTGATTAGCACAGACAGTGATTTCCGTAAAATCACTAATCTGCCTTTTGAACTCACCCGTCAAAGGCGGAAAGGTGTGAGCCGCGCTGGTTTGTTAATTGGATCAGTTTGCTACACCAATCAACTTCTCATTGACTGATTTCGGCTTATGTATACAAGATTGCTGTTGTTTGAATCTCATGGGACCAAATTTTCTTCTCAAGTCATCGTGTGTATTTATGAGACGAATTCGTGAAACCGGTATTCAAATGATGACAACTATAACAGGGAATGGTCGGGACTGACAGATACTTCGAGTTATGCATAATGTTCGAGACACCGGCATTCGACTCATCGGGATTTGACTGTATATTGGACCTGTTGTGACAACAACATCTAGAACCGTAATGGGGTTGAACAATGAGTCCAACCAATGACCGGAGGATCCAGGTGTGCTCAAGGGAAGCAACTCTTCACAGCAGGCATATACAGAAGAAAGGTTTCAGATGCTGAGTGAGCGTGTGAATGAGTGGGTGAATGAATGAGTGAGTGAGTTTTTATGGTATGGTTTTAAGCCACTTTCAGCAATATTCTAGCCATATCATGGCGGGGGACACCAGAAATGGGGTTCACTGACTGTACGCAAGTGGTTAAATGAACCCAGGTGTTCGGTGTGACGAGAAACGCTCTAACCACTAGGCCACCACAACTGTATGTAAGTGTATGCTCACTACATCATCACATCAAAGCGGATGTCCATTAACTCTGTCCCCAATATGTATATTCCTCTTCAAATACTGAATGACAGCCATCACAACTGAACCAGAGGAAGGAACACTGGATTGGTTCGGGGAAGTCGGAACTTCAAGTAAAAACATTATTTCCTTCTACAACAAGTAGACACTTGACTTGTGAACAGATCAAAGGGGAGGTAATCAAAACTCTACAACTGAACACAGTCACAAGCACAATATAATCTGCCTGATTCATCCTACCAGGCGGTCCTCCAGGATGAGTATTTCTTCTATCACCCAACCAAACGTCACCAAGTTATTCAGTGATAAATCTCATAATGATGCCTGTCTGTCCGTGAAGGGTCCATCTCAGGAGTTAATGAATAAAACTGGTCCAGACGCAGTTATGGTGGTCTTAAGAGACAACCAACTGATCACATGGCCAGACTCAGTAGTGAGTGAGTATGTTGGGTTTTACGCCGCTTTTAGCAATATTCCAGCAATATCACGACAGGGGACACCAGAAATGGGCTTCACACATTGTACCTATGTGGGGAATTGAACCCAGATCTTCGGCGTGACGAGCGAACGCTTCAACTACTGGGATACCCACCAACCCTAAGACTCAGTAACTTGGCGGTCAATGACCCTGATGCTGTGGATCACTACGATATCAATCACCGGATTAGTGATTCAGACTTGATTATTTACAATCCACTGTCGTATAACTAGAATATTGATGATTCCACCCTTAAACAACAAACAGACACCAATTTAAACTTGAGACTTTACCTTCAAGATGACCTTGAACTTTCAAACATAACTCAGAAATATCAAGTAATACCATGAATCAACAAAAAAAAATTCAACGCAGCCAGTTACAATGTTTTCCCAAACACCACAACAAGCAACAAATTAAATACAATCTCCCTTAGCACTAACTATAAGTCTAACTATACACACACATTTAAGATAAGTGAAAGGTATCGCTGACCATTCCAGATAAAAACGTCTCCTATTTAACCTTGGACTATTTCAACAAACACACTGTATAGACCTCAGTCTCACCTGCCAATTAGATGCCGGGACAGAGGGGTATCTAAGGAATTTTTATCTGCCTTCAGACAGCAAGTCATTGCAGACTTAATGCCCTACTAAAACACTTCAACCTTTGCCTGACCCATATTATCAACCTAGCACACCAAATCCAATGTTACAAAGGACGAGATGAACACAGACCTACTGCCCAAATGACACATTCACAGAGTCTAATCCAAGCATTGTCAATCATGGTTTTCTTACAACAAGACTAGTCACATTAATAAAGTTCAAAAGGCTACAAATATAGCACCGGATTAGAACTCTTCTATCTAAAGGTCCAATTCTTTCAACTACATGAAAAAAGCTAAGCATCTTTAGACATCCGAGATGCACGCCGCCATCATGTCCAAGAATGGAAGGGAAGATCAAAGGTGATATATACGTGACTGATGTAGAAAGAGTTATAAACATGGATTCCAAAAATAGTCAAAAGTAAATGAAACCCAAGTTTATCAATAATCTCTTTCCAAATGTTTTCAACAATTTTTTTCAGCATGAAAGAATACTGTTTAATAGAAAACAAAGTTATTAAAAAGGGTTCAAAAGATGGATGTGCAACTGACGACCAGATTATGAGTGATAAACATTTTTGCACATTTGTAATTTATTAGCTACAACTGTGACAAATAAGCTCACCATCTCTTCATAACAGTTTTAAAAAATTGGGTTTTAACCATGCTACGCACAGTAAATAACTGATGTGACAGACAATATGTCAGTGTAACACAGTGATCTGAGTGGATTTCCTTCTATGAAATGAAAACCAAACAATTGCACACAGAAATGTGAAGTTGGAACTTAGAAGCAATTCATACAAAAAGACATCCCTGTTAAATTTAACGTGCACGCAACAATTGAATCAGTTTTGATGAATCAAACAGCAATGCATTTTTTGGAACGATATGTAACAACACGCGGAACGTCAAAATTGTAAACACCAAGTCGGAATGCCTCTTCACGTAGTCCCAGAATGCCCCTTCACGTAGTCCCAGATTGTTCGTCGTCATTAATTCAGTGCAGTACAACGTTCCTCAGCAGACCATGCAGTGAATCTAAACCTACGATTACAGATAATGGCGTAACAAGTTTGAGTTTGCATGTCTGAAATGATGGTAATAAAATCAAAAGACTCAGAATGACAAGTGCTCTCCACGGAGATAAATCGTTATTGAAAGTAGGAGTGTTTTATTTTCTGACTTGGAAGCCCGTTTGAGAATTCCAGTGTACGGAAGTCACATTTTACCCACAACATAAAAGAGCAGGCTTCAGAAATGATTACCCATTGGGTTTGAAATCACTTTCACTTGGATGAAATACCAAATGACATGGGTCTCCTGAATTTATTTTGATTGTACATCTCCTTGGAAACACTATCAGGAACCTAAAAGTTTTCACTAGGGTAGCCATGCACTGACTGCACAATGATGTAGTTAATCATCCTTTCCACCAAATATTGAAGTACAGTATTACTTTATATTAGATCCCTTGTGAAGGCACAATTCAACATACATAGCTGACATGTTGCCATATAAGGAATGGAATAATATTCAAGGTTCGATATTAAGAGGTTATGACATGACAGTTTTCCTTTTGCCAGTCACATCAGCCCGAGACTACCATATCAGCCCAAGGGGCCTCATGTCGTATTGGCCATAGTCGATTTACACATGACTATCTGCTAAAAACAGATGGGGATGGACCCCCCATATGTCTCTCCTGCGATGAGGCTCTCACCGTCAAGCATATTCTGCTTGACTGTGTGGATTTTACATCTGCAAGGGACTCGCATTATCACGCAACCAATCTGAAAGATCTGTTCTCCAGCGTGAGCGCTCATCTGATACTAAACTACCTGAGGGAAGTCGATCTATATCATAAAATGTAACTGTGTAATGTCAATAACGAATGTATCTGCTTTTCAATCTAGTGCTATGACATTCTCTGTTCTAAAATGACAACGTAATGAATATATGTCTTTGAAACGAAACCACTTTGTACTTACAATGTATATTAATGCAGACTTGTTCTCGTCACTATATGGCTGGAATAATGCCGATGTGACGTAAAGCCCAACTCAACTCAACTCAACTCATAACCTTTTATCATATACCACATCAAGTGACATAACTCTAAAATAAACTAGGCTCTGTCTATTGAAGTTTCAAGCGTGTGCGTGTATTCATTACTACCAGTTTAGTAGCTAAAAATAAGGATGGATTTTCCGGCCCTAGGGCTGATATGACTGATATGCATTTTCGGCCTTGGTCGTCAATATGGACATATGCTGACAGTCAGTATTGTATGTGCAAAATGGTCCATATTATTGATAGGTATAGGATAATATCTGATATCACACAATGGATGTGGAAAATCAAACTCAGTTCTTTGGTACAATAAGCAAACGCTTTAACCACTCGACTAATCAATCCGCCAATCTTGCCAAACTTCAGACAACCTGTATCATGGTATAAAGATTTCTAATATGACAGCTAACCTGTTTTTTCTATAAAAAAATTATATCATCCGAATCACGCAAAATATATTTCTAATACAACAGGTATGGGAGAAAAGATTTCCGAAACGACTGTTACCTTGTCAAGATTTCTGATATGACTGGCATCATGCAACAAAGACTTCTGTAAACACAGTGGTATCAGCTTTCTGAAAGCATCAATACCACGTGGGGAATCAAACACAAGTCTTTGTTGTAACGAGCCAACACTTAACCACAGGGCTACAACACTGTAACCTTAAAATGATGAGGTTGAAATTGGATAAGAATAATATTCCAGAATACATACTTTTGGCGCTGTCCTCTGACTAGTGGCTGAAGGAGGGCAGGAATACTCCACTATAATAACGCCTCGTGGCTAATGCTTCAGACTGACAGCTTTTTCAATATTCCCGTCATGCTCCACATACAGCCCACAGTACTCTCCTCAAGCAGAGCACTGGGTCACCTTGCCTCCAGGGGGCACTACTCAGTTCACGAAAGGCTCGCATGAATCATACCATATTTCTCATTATCAGACAGGTTCTGAAGGTTACATATCATCCTTCACTGTCCACTCAACTAGAGACACATATTCCACGTTCTACATATTGTGTAGGTGGGATGCGCAGATCTTGTGAAAAGGTTTCTGCAGAGCAGAAATATTGGTATGTTTCTACTGACTAGGTAACTTAACAAGTTATTGAAAACATCTACAGCATTCTGGACACGTGCCATGAGAATAAAGGGATCACCTGTCACAGTAGGTAGATGGGGCTTGAAAGTGACGTTAGGTCAAACATAGATGAAGCTGAGTGCGCTCTGTTTTCTATAGTGATGTGATATCAAATTTCATCCAATAATTGCATAAAAATCCTTCTTAGCAAAAATTGAAAAATATCTTCAGGACATTTTGAAAGATGATGTCTGATTGCTTTTGAAATAAACCAGAATAATTCCTTGTGACTTCAATTTGAACTTTATTACGACAACACAAAGGTAACAGTTGGATATTTTGTTGAGATCAATTTGAGATCAATTTGAGAGTGAGTGAGTTGAGTGAGTGAGTGAGTGAGTGAGTGAGTGAGTGAGTGAGTGTCAGCGAGCGATGAACAATAGGAAAGTCCAAACTGATGAACGGTGGTGAAACCCACAAACACGGGCATGCTGCTGACAAGCCATGAAACATTATTGGGGAATTTTGAGATTCAAACCCAAGGGAGACTTCTCAGCACAGCAAATGGCAGCTGATATATAAAATATGATATGTGAAGTGCATAGTCCCAAAAGGAATATTCTGTATGATATAACTTGACATAGATCCACAAGATAAAGTCTGTTTACTACAGGAATTATTCATGAGCTCACCACATGCATGAAGTGTGTCGTTACCTTCAGTATCTGTTGACTGTTGTCAATAGTTTCTAGCTTAAACAAGCCAACTGTAGGAGACAGGTCATACTGACACCTGAAATACCTGAGTTACTTCAGGACGTGGTGGCTGAGTGTGTTAGATGGCTGACTTTGTGTGCTGGGCCTCCTTTCACAAAGCACTAAGGTGATTGTAAGTCACTAAGGTAACCTTAGTGCAATGTTAAAGAATGGGAGTTAAGGTTAACCTTAGTAAAGGTTGCTTCGTGAAAGGAGCCCCTGTAATTAGGTGGCTGACTCTGAGAGTGTGGGTTCGAATCCTGGATGGGTCTCGACCTAACAAAAGTACTAGAATCTGTACTTTACTGGGAAAGTGTAATACCTAATATAATGTGTGTTTCATCAGCATCATCTGACCACATGCTAAATGGAATTTTGCATTCATGGTGACAGTGCATGTGCTGATCACTATGTCAGAGTGTACACAGGTGCATTGTGAATGGAAACTAGAGTCAGAGTAGCAAGTGGGTCATTGTTGCCTAACTTCTCACACATGTGATGCATTACCCATGTCTGGCATTACTAAATACCTACAGATGGCAACATAACCTTGTACCGATTCCGTAGTAGGATTCTAGATCAGCCACACCGACTAGCTATTTCCACACTCAAGTCATATCACATGGTCAACATATTTCTATACAATATTAGCATTGTATCAATGGAATGCCATGAAAATGGTAATTTTGGTTTTTCTCTCAAAAATATAGAATGTGACAAGATATTGATAACCTGATAATACCATTAATACCCTATGATATTATATTTCACATAAAAACAACCTATTATTGCATCATATTTATAATAACTGCAGGCACTCTCCATCAATGCCAAGGGGTATCATGTTTCCATGGTAATAAATCAATTTGCCTGTAGGGTTTCTATGAATTTGGAAAACTAAACCAAGAACACTTTCATATCAATTCTAAATTAGGAAATCAATGAATTTTGAATACTAAGACCATATATTACTCAGCATGAGCCGACCTGATTCATGGGGTGATGCCCTACTGTCATGCGCTGCCCTGGAAACCATGACCTCGTCATTAATACTACACCTGTTCATGCATTGTATGTGTCTGCGATATTTTGTAGCCAATGACTGACTGAATGAGTTTGGTTTTATGCCGCTTTTAGCAATATTCCAGCAACATCACGGCGGGGGACACCAGAAATGGGCTTCACACATTGTACCCATGTGGGGATTCGAACCTGGGTCTTCAGCGTGACAAGCCAATGCTTTAACCATTAGGCTACCCAACCGCCCCCTTGTAGCCAATGAAGCTAAACTGACATAACATAAAAATTGCTCTATTGCCTTAAAATAGTTAGTTGTGATAATTATGTTATTCTACTCCGAGTCCTCTTAGTAATATTTGTGGTAAAAGGCAGATAGGTGGGATCTCAAGTCTATGCTGTATTGTACATTCCAGGAAATCTTGACACATGTTACGGATGTGAGCCACGTGAGTGATTTCCTTTTTTGCCTTCAGACAATCCTCCACTGACACACTGACCTTAGCGTATACTTCTTAACAGAATAGATACGTCAGTTATATTTGACATGCCATCTACAATTTTGATAATTTTAAAGATTAAAACAACCATAAATGTTTGCCCCTCCCAGAGCTTCCATGCTCAGTCATATTTCTATGCATATATAATTAACACAAAAAGTTATTTTGGATTTGGATCATAAGACTGAGCACCTAATTTGATAAATTATTCAAAAATAATTTATTCTCCCATACCTGTTTTTGATAAGTATAGAAAATAATATTCTGCATTTTGCAAAACTATAATTAAAATAAATTACCTATTAATGCTAACAACATCATTTGCATAAATCACATCATTCAAAAGTGATTGTAACCAATAGAGATATGGCTAATCAATATGACATGTGCACCTGTTCACATGTTTATATACTGCTTCACAAACCCTGCCCAATATACGAAACAGGAATACGTTAAATAGGGAGGGGGGGGGGGAGAGAGAGAGAAGATGATGTAACTGATACACAAAGCTATGATACAATGCACTTCTCTACACATCAGTCAAGATATGTCATGCATCACTGTTTCAGTGTTTCTGATATGATACAGGACGGTGAGGTGGCCCAGTGGTTAAGCATTTGCTCATCATGCTGAAGACCTGGGTTCAATTCCCTAAATGGGTAAAATGTGTGAAGCCCATTTCTGGTGTTCCCGCCGTGATACTGTGGGAATATTGCCAATAATGACGTAAAACCATACTCTCTCACTCACTCACTCTGATATGATACATATCTTGATATGCTGGTCAAGATACGATACCTATCACTGTCTCTAATACAAATAGATTTCTCTACGTACTGGTCTAGATCCCATATAAATCCCAATACATTGTTTCCAATACGACATATCTCAATGTCCAATGTTATGACATGTCCCGATCACTTGTGACAATACGACATATATCTCAACATACTGGTCTAGTTATGATACATATCCCGATACACGTTATGATACGACACAATAAATGATATGATCAATATCCAGACACATTGTCACAATACATTTAATATTTTGCTATATGCTTCTACATACGAAATATATGCTGATACACATGTCTTTGGCTAGATATCTGGATAAACTGGTAGTGTTACATTCAAACCACACATATTAATTCTTTGTGCCATGCGTGAAAAAATAACCTTATCACTACTGAGTGCAAAAACATGTTATCAACGGTCCATCGTTATACCGCTCCAACTCAGTCAAGCCTAGGAAATGTTGTTATCAACGGAAGCCATTTATCAACCTGTTGAAAAAATCAACAGTAAAATCTGGAAAATCTTATTGAATCAATTCTGCACTGACCCAAAAAACAATTTCTGAATGTCATGAAATCCAACACGATCAAAACCAATCAGCTAACAAACAACAAGTCAAGGAACAGCCGTTTGTCAACACTAAACTCTGAAGGAAACACTGAAATATTTACCCAACTGAACCCAATTTCCTGTTCTAAATCAACTAATGTGATTACAAGCTTTATAATTTCTGCATGTATACATGCACCTTTTCACGCCGCCAAATACATGCATATCTCTCACACAATGACAAGTCTAATCAAAGATTCATCAACGCCAATTTATCTTGTAAAACACACCAGCTTAAAAACGTTCGATTCCAACGCAGTGTACAGCTTGGAATCATAACATAGGGTTCCAATTCATGACATAACTGTCACAAATCAAACCATTAACACCGAAAATCGGACGCTGATATTACCCGTAATCGTAAAGAATCAACCAATTTTTACCTGTGTTAGTGACAAAGAGTTCTGACCTACTGAAGCCAAATGGATGCGATGAACTCGTTGCATGGAATGTTCAACTGGTTTTGGCACTGAAGGCTCCTCTTCTGATAGATAACAATGAGTCACTCAGTTGCTTCAACCGTGGAAGCGGCAAGGATTTCTGTGAGAGCTGGAGAATGCCTCTCCTAGCTGGCCAGCCACTGAGGTATTAATGTGTGCTATTGATTGTAAAGCCAGCCTGTCAAAGCTAGGTGTCTGGAATACAGCACAACACTTCACCTCAATATAACGCTGTTCTTGGTAGAGGTGGATTTTGATCAACGCTGTTGTATTACATTTAACAGCATGGTAGGTAAACCTGATAACAGTTACATAGGTGCCTCAGAGCACCTGCTTATAAGGGAGATCATGGTAGCTGATAAAAGTGGTATAATGAAATATTATATTGGCACCAATCAACAACATAGATACAAGTTTTCATGAAACATATTCCATTAAAGTTATTGCTGTGCAAGAGTCAAGAGAACTGTCTGACCTTACACATCATAAACATGAAGTCAACTCGTAAAATAACCACATCTTGTTATCAACAAACAAAATGAAAAACAAACACACGCCATATTTCACAATTGCTACAATTAACATCATGGAAAAGCCCATTTTTAGAGAACAGAATAGTCTGTCATACAGACCCTGAAACAAATATATCCAAGAAAGCCCATAAAAGTATAGAATGTTTGGTCAAGAGTTCCACAGTTTCACTGATCATGAAGAAGGCTCCTTTTCATTATACTGCATGGTTATTTTTGACAGACAATATTTTTTGTGTGAGTGAGTGAGTGAGTGAATTTAGTTTTACGCTGCACTCAGCAATATTCCAGCTATATGGCGTCAGTCTGTTAAATAATCAAGTCTGGACCAGACAATCCAGTGATCAACAGCATGAGCATCAATCTGCGCAATTGGGAACCCATGACGTGTCAACCAAGTCAGCAAGCCTGACCACCCGATCCCATTAGTCGCCTCTTACAACAAGCATGGGTTACTGAAGATCAATATTCTAACCCAGACCTTCACGGGTAGTTTTTTTTCCTGTAAAATATGTTCATTTCAGAGACTCGATGTTAGTCTAAGAAAAGTACATTTTTCTCTTTTTCAAACAACAAGTAAGTTGGACACAAAATCAAGCTATATTTTCTTCATATTAATATTCATGTTTCTTGCCTACTATTCCAGTTCCAGAGACATCTCTCCACATGGGCTGCTTTGTATTGCAATATGGACTCACACAAAAAGATAGTGAATAAAGAGCGTTCTGCTCAGTGAACATAATGAGAATATGTTGTATACAGCACAATGTGAATTCTGTGCGAGACTCCTTTCCAGACAGCTATAATGACAATACAATATCAATACTCTGAGGCTACTTTCTAGACAACTATAATGACAATACAATATCAATACTCTGAGGCTACTTTCCAGACAACTATAATGACAATACAATATCAATACTCTGAGGCTACTTTCCAGACAACTATAATGACAATACAATATCAATACTCTGAGGCTACTTTCCAGACAACTATAATGACAATACAATATCAATACTCTGAGGCTACTTTCCAGACAACTATAATGACAATACAATATCAATACTCTGAGGCTACTTCCAGACAACTATAATGACAATACAATATCAATACTCTGAGGCTACTTTCCAGACAACTATAATGACAATACAATATCAATACTCTGAGGCTACTTTCCAGACAACTATAATGACAATACAATATCAATACTCTGAGGCTACTTTCCAGACAACTATAATGACAATACAATATCAATACTCTGAGGCTACTTTCCAGACAACTATAATGACAATACAATATCAATACTCTGAGGCTACTTTCAATACAACTCAATAATGACAATATACACATATCAATACTCTGAGGCTACTTTCCAGACAACTATAATGACAATACAATATCAATACTCTGAGGCTACTTTCCAGACAACTATAATGACAATACAATATCAATACTCTGAGGCTACTTTCCAGACAACTATGCATGGAAGGTCACACAAATTGTTATGAGTTCTTGCACTTCTATCATGTTGTAACATTTATATAGCATACATTTTTATTGGTAATTACAGATCTACAAGAAATGATCCACAGATCAAAGAAAAATATAGACATAAACTATCAGTTTTATTAATAGGTTTTATACATATACTAGTCTCAGGTAACAGGAACCCCTCTCCCAATACACCATTCAACAAGTCTAAAGCTGTCTGTATACAGTTTATGAAGTAAACCCATCATCTATCACAGAATAACATTCAGCTGATATTTCAATTTAGGCTAATTAAAGTTTAGCCATCATATCATATGAATCTCCTTCAGAGCATTCAGTAAACACGGCACCAATATTTTTGCTTGTTTTTCAATTTATGCTAATTAAAGTTTAGCCATCATATCATATGAATATCCTTCAGAGCATTCAGTAAACATGGCAACAATATTAGTGCTTGTCCAATTAACAGGGTTAAGTATTCTCTTCTGTCTGGTAATTTGCTAATTGTACACTTATCACATCGGGACACAAAGTCTGTGATCTAGACTACAAGTTGTCCGACTTCCGTAGTGGGAGCTGCGGTGGCTGGGTGGGTTAGATGGCTGACTTTGCGTGCTGGTGATTAGGTGCCTGACTCTGACGGTGTGGGTTCGAATCCTGAATAGAACTCAACCCCAATAAGCTCTAGAATCTGTACTTTATTGATAAAATGTAATCCCAAATATAATATGTGTTATGCTACATTGTAGGGTACTTCGTATTATGCAGCCACAGTGAATCATAGTCTTTTTATTGTTTAAATTTCAGTGAAGTAGATAAAAGACATTGACGTATGGCAGCAGGGGTCGGATTCCCCAACCAGGGATAGTGATTGTGATTTTTAAATATACATCCATCCATTACTTTTTTAATAATTAGTGCTGTCTTTTTATACATAACGACTTACGGTGAATGTGACCTCAGGTATTTCCAAGCAGTCGACATTTTGGTGGAACTCGGTCGGTCTGTGTAGCTTCCTGTAGTCGGAAATGAAGCTGGCTGAGATGGTCATATTTTATATTTTTTATTGCTTCTGTAAGGCCCGACTACACACATGTACGTGTACTAGTTGTTGATATGCTAGTCAATTTCTAACAAATATAACGTTACTATAGAAGTCAATTTGGTATTGTGTAACCTATAAAGATGATAAATAGTTGTGTTTACTAGTGTTGGGAATTGGTTAAAATCTAACAATTGACGATTTGTTCATTACAACCGATCAATCATCGAAAAAACTTGGTTAGCGTGATTTATCAAATTCTCCTGTTTATGTTTGTTAATGCACAAAAAATATAGAAAAAACATGTACTTCTTTCGGTGTTTTTTTAGCAAATTGCATTTACAAATTTCACATCTTTAAAGAAGGACTAGCATGATAGGACCATAAATTTCCTGGAATCTTTAAGATAATTTCAATCATGACATGGAACGAGCTTGTAGTACTTGTAGTACTGACAAAACCAACCTTATGAAAAATGTTGTTAATGCAAGTGTGCCAAAATTGTTTGTGTTCGATTATGAGAAAACATTATCGATTGCTTGGTCATTTAGTCATCGCAACCAATCTTCGATTATTTCAATTAATCGGACCACCACTAGTGTTTACATGTATAAATACCATCACAGAATACCAATTCGGGGTTTCACAGGTAAAATACGTAACATATCCACTAGCCTGGTTCCAGTTTGGTCGACAGTGTAAACACACTCTAAAGAAAAGCTGTTATGAAAATGTGACGTGTGACAACAGTTCATAGCTGTGTACATACTTCCATGGTTTTCAATAATTGATGTTGCAAATGCTTCAGAGATGTGTTTGTTTAGTTGTGAGAAGGGGATATACACTGTCGTAAACATACCACCGGATCTAAACTAGTGGATCTTTTACACGCTCTACGCATGTGCACAGCAAGTTGAAGATTAATGTGAAACTACTGAATGACGTCCTTGATACAATGCCAATACTGAAATGAACACCTTCAATAAACACAGATCACTGAAGTATCAGGTAGGTAATTACACATATCCAATACAGCTGTGCTACAGCATGACAAACATGCTGCAACATGGTCGACGTTGCACAACTGACAACGTATTGCCTTACATCACTGAGCAGTATAACAGAAATATTATCGGAGACATTACCAGACTTCACTCATCGGACCCATGTGTGGAATCTATCCAGCAAACAATTAAACTGCTGGACATCTGCTACTTCCGATGGTGGAGCTATTTCAAAGCACCATTAGCAATTCATTTAGCTTTAATAAGAAAAGTACATTCCACCAGTTTTAGAGAAGACTGACTGACTGACTGAGTTTGGTTTTACGCCGCTTTTAGCAATATTCCAGCCATATCACGGCGTGGGACACCAGAAATGGGCTTCACTCATTGTACCCATGTGGGGATTCGAACCTGGGTCTTCGGCGTGACGAGCCAACGCTTTAACCACTAGACTACCCCACCACCCCTTTTAGAGAAGAGATTGAGCAACGAAACACAACATGAACAACCAATCCTGCCACGAACAACCAATCAACAAACCAATTGCCGGACAAGGAACCAATTGCCGGACAAGGAACCAACTGCACCACAATCAACCAATCACAATCAGCCAGGTGCTTGACCATCCTCCTTGGTTGGTGTACCCTACAAACTTCACACTAGTCTGTCAACCCCAAACTACAACATTGTTCTGAAGAAAAGTAACAATGCAATAACGATAGATTCACCAAATTTTGGCTTCAGTTTTGCTGCAAATTATAACTGAATATTATTGAATCAAATGTACACATATTAAACATTATCCCTTTCTGATGAGGGCTGTATCAGGAAGGTCCTGTGCTCAGTTTCACAAAGCTATTGTAGCGCTTTGACTGTCGTACCTCCTATACTGTAACATAGACTTACGACAGTTGTAGTAGCTTCGTGAAACACACGTGTGTGTGTGTGTGTGTGTGTGTGTGTGTGTGTGTGTCTGTGTGTGTGTGTGTTGTTTGTTTGTTTCTGGAAATTCAGCACATGAAAACTGTGCAGCCCCAACATTGATAACACCACAAAGCCAAAGATGATTTTACTTGAG